TCGACAAATTCAACTGCTTTCCATGACAACTCATATTTCCCCATTTTCTTCGATTCTGGCTTTCTTCTCCCATCCTACCCTTTCTTAAGCATAGAGGTACTATCGTATATAGAGGCCCTTATCTCCCAAGGATTACCACGTGCTATGCCTAGGTAAGTGTACACGTCTAATCTGGTAAGCGTTGTCCCGAGAGAAGCTATTCAGATAATAAACTTACCAGGTTTGTAGTAAATTGATCGATCCCTAGCCTGGATGAGTCCGAGCTGCTTCAACTTCTCGACGACTCTCTTCACGTCCTTCGTATCGGAGAAATCGGCGGTGTAGACGCAGATGAGCCGGTCCGTTCTCTTATCAGTTGTCGATCGTGGCGCAACCTTGGCACCAATACCAAGCTCATTATTTGCCGTCGCTTTGGCGACAGTCTCCCAAATCTCGTTAACTTGGAAGACAGAACAAAAGAGCATCCACTAGCATATATTAGGAATGACGCTTCAAGCATATACTCATATAATACTCATATACTAACCTTGCCACATCTCACACGTAGCATCCTTGCCAGGTTGAGAATATCTTTGGCCGCGTCCATCCCGGCTTTTCGACATTCTCGAGTGATAGCACCTGGTTGATTTCCGGACTTCTTACATGCGTCGATGAATTCTGAGGCAAGATGAAGTCTTGCCATCCCACCCTCAACCATACTGGGCAGGTCCGCGCCAACCTCTTCAGGGGCTTCGTCTTCGCCGCCAGGGATCATTTGATTACTTGCTTCATGTTTTTTTTGCGATTAATGTATGGATTACAAACCCAAATCCAGGGGTCTTCTGGAGTTTCGTCTGTTGTTGCAGGGGGTACGCGTTGTACGAACTCTTCAATGGTCTCGGTGAGTTGCCAGGCGTTCTTAAGGCCAGCATACGGGTTATGGAGATGAGAGATATCAACGGTTTCCTTCTTTTGCGCCTGCATCTTGAGCGGTGTATCGAGAGTTCGGTTTTGTTCCCACCAGGCTTCAACGTCGAATACCTTTACTTTGGCTTTGAGGTCTGCCAGAACTTCGTCGTCGCCTAAGACCGCGAATTAGTAATCTGGCGTTAGTTAAATAGACCGAATATCTCCACCATAGAAATCAGAGTCCTCGGAACTCATGGTCGCAATTCAAAATAGATGAGTATGTACCTAGGTACGTTAAATTGATAAACAGTAGTTCATACGATGAGAATAAGAATAGAGAAGAAATGAAGGAATTATAAGTAAATATTGTATAAACTAGCCAAAGTCAATTGTCAATAATACGAGTCAGGCTTAGAAAGTTGAAAATATGAGGTATCTATCTGGGTTCTAGGCTAGGTTAGAAAGCATTTAAAAGTCCTTGCTCCATGAGACCGGGGGTTGCTGGATAACTGATAACTGACGTGCTCTTGCCAACCCAACCCAAATGTCCGACTCCCCTCGTTCTTGCAGCTTCGATTGTTACCACGGTATTTCCATAAGAGGAGCCTTAAAATGGCTGCATTCTGCAAGTGCAGGAACCAGGCGCTCGGGCACTAGTAATTGGACCAGGTCCAATAATAAGGCTATGCTCCAGGGTTTATACAGCGGGTATGATTCCGAGCCGCTCTTTAGAAGCGGCATGCATGCTGTAGCTTAGCTGTATGTGCCCCATTTTTATTATAAGTCTCCACTATCTCCTCTAAAAAAACAACTTCAAAAAATTGAGGGGGAAAGATTTCCTCTCAACATCTACATACGCGGGGCTTAATATCTATATCGCAGCATGTCTTATGTTTCCATGAATATTAATTGCTGACATATTCTCCGTTGACGAATATAAGCGTGGTATAAACGCCCCTTAAAAGTCTAACGTCATGAATACGCACGGACGCAGCATCACGTCGCTGAAATCATTAACCCTGGACCTCCCCCCAAGCTGTATCGAATTCTGTCCGGGTCATCCGGACTATTTCGTCGTTGGTACATATAATTTACAGAAAGAAGATAATACAGATACGGGCGGTTCTACTGGAGATGACCAAGAACAACAGGAGGTAAAGAAAACTCAATCTCGGGATGGTAGTCTTGTTCTCTTTAAGTTGTTAGAGACTTCGGATATGTAAGCTACCTCCTTATATACCTACTTATCTCTATTATTCAATTTTAATATCAAGTTTACCATCGTATAGAAAGCACGTACAAACTGTTCTCTACCCTTCTGCTCTCCTTGACCTTCATTTTCATCCTAGTCGAGAAGGCTCTACTGTGCTGGCTGTCGTCTCCAGTACTGGAAGCCTGTCGTTCTTCAAGCTTTCTACTTTAGAAGAACATCCGGCTTCCTTAAAGGAAATCGTTACTCACAAGCCGCTTGGTGATGATGAGGGAGTTCTAGTCCTGTCATGTTCGTGGCATCCACATATTCCTGAGCTCCTAGCAATTACAACCTCCAACTACGAAGTCCATATCCTGCGTGTTACTGACTCATGGGATGTCTCTAAGACAAGCGATGGGCCTGTGATAACTCACACTCTTGAAGCGTGGACAGTGGCATTTTCATCGTTGACACTAGGCAAGCCTAGCTCGGATGCAGCAGGTTCTCCAGGGGAAAGCTCTGAGCAATTCGCAGTATTCTCAGGAGGTGACGATTCTAAACTCCTTACTACAAATTGTGCATATTATCCGGCTCGTATTGATACTGAAGAGAGCCTAGTCGAGACTTCATGCCCACCAATTGTGTTCAGGGGACACGAAGCAGAGGAGTAACTGCTATACTCACCCTAAATCTGCAAGTTTCATCGCACGATTCCGTGGTTGTCACTGGAAGCTACGACGACTACATTAGAGTATACGCGTTCGATGAGCAAAGAAAGGGGATGCTTCCTTACAGATCCAGGTTACTAGCAGAGCAAAATTTACAAGGAGGTGTATGGAGACTTAAACTGATAACATTAGAAAAAGCTACGGAGAGCACCAAGGGAGACAGCAAGCAGTGGAAAGTCTTTATTCTCGCCTCATGTATGCATGCGGGATCACGAGTACTTGAGATCTCAGGTGGTACAGAGGCTGAATTTTGTGAGATTAAAATACTCGGACGGTTTGAGGAGCACAAGAGCATGAACTACGGGAGCGATTTTCAGCCGGGTTCCGAAATGGGAAGCAGAAATCTCCGGTGTGTATCAACAAGTTTTTATGATAAGTTATTGTGTTTATGGGAATACTAATATTGATTTTGAGTGTTGAAATTATTTGACCTGACCTTGTAGCGATAAATATTTACTTAATGTTAATCGACTCTTAAGTTAGTAAATACTACCCGAGGTGCGAATAGGAATTAATGTTAGTTTAGTGATGTAATAGTTACAAGATATAGTCTCAACACCACTTTGGAATGTGACGGATGCGGGTTCTCGCGTTTCTGTTAGTTATTCCTTAGCAACGTGTTGCAGAGAATTACTATTTCCCAAGCTATATAATTATACACATATATTTGTACAATTGCTTTATTGTCAAATAAGTCGCCATAGTTCGATTTGTTGTTGGAACAAAATGAGAGTTACATATGCTTAACAGAATGAAGTAGATAAACGGATGTACATAGTAGACTGTGGTAGTAGACTGTGGAGTACAGCAGCCGCCATGGGGCGTCGTAGGTACAATTTTGGAATTGTTCTAGTGCTTCCAGAACAGCGGCTTTCATGGTGAACTAAACAGCTAATTGGCTATGCGGATAAGTACATAATAGTACATGATAGGTAACAAGCCTATGAAGGTGGGGTTGCTGTATGGCAGGGCAAGGCAGGTACGCCCTGATAACAATGGTTTAGTATATGCATTGTATATGGAAGCATGATTACATATATTGCGCAGAGAAGTAAAAGTGTACCTACCTACCTGAGCTTATGGATTAAAGGACTCAGGACTTTAAGGTGGACCCACCAATAGTCGCGTGAAGAAGGCACGCTGAAGCAACATTACCACATCACCTGTAAATTTCCGCCAGAAACACGAACCTCAATCACGGTACCTTAAGCTTAGCGCATAATTTATAGTCATCGTTCCACCTCCAATCCTGTCTCAAGCAAGAACATATCGAGAATTTAAAAAAAAAAAAAAATCGTCATCCTATCAATAAAGGTGCTCGTTACTGAATTGCCATTACTAATTCAGTATACCCTCACTACTTTTCCATCTTTCATTCTATCTCCGTAGTTAAGCAATCTTATCTAGATTTTGCCTGATGATTCACACCTAAAGCAAGGTTAACCTATAGCTCCCGACAGCTCGCGCCCACCCCCTCCAAGATCGTCGCCGACCGCGCATCTCCTAGTTCCCCCAACACGATGGCTACACATACTGCGATCAATGGTAATATGGGATCAGGCGGCGTAGGTTTTGGCGCCGACAATATGGAGGTCCTGCCGAAGATCCACAAGGCACTAGAGGTCATTCATAATCCTCACTCTCCCAACGATGCACGGCAAGAGGCTCAGATGTTCCTCGAAGACGTAAAGAATAATGGAAATGCCTCTTTTTACGGCTTTCATCTCTCCGTCGACAAGGCTCAGTCCCCCGTGGTGCGACATTATGCTCTATCACTCCTAGAGTATGTAATCAAACACAAATGGGCCGATTACACCGAAGATCAAGCTACCGATCTGCGTAACGGTGTCCTGGAGCTCTCACGAGGCATAACGAGAGATGACCCGGCTTACTTAAGAAACAAGATTGCTCTGCTATGGGTTGAGGTCGCAAAAAGGACCTGGGCTGGAGAGTGGATGGATATGGACGCACTGCTTTGCCAACTGTGGTCAGGCCCTGCGGTACATAAGGAGCTTGTCCTATGCATCTTAGAGATGCTATCCGATGATATTTTTAGTGGCGATGACACAGTAGTAGCAGTTCGCGAGGGCGTCCTCAGTAAGGCATCTGTTGAGATTTTCACACCCGCCGCGGTCCTAGTAGAGACATTCCCCAACCGGCAGGCAGGGCCGGATGTGAGATGTGGCAATGAAGGCTGGCTTGCAAGAATCACGGACCTATTAAGTCGTTGCTTAACGGAAGATATACAGAACGACTCGGAAATACGAAGCTGCGCAGTTCGTGCTCTCGGCGTACTCTACTCTCTGCTGCCTTGGGTCGTCCCCAATGCTGTCACTGCTACCCAGTGTGTACCGGTAATGTGTGAGGGACTTCGAGCAAACCACATTGAAGTCCAAAAGGTAAGCCGCAGCTCTACTAATATTATATGTATCCGTAACTAATCGTTAAAGGCATCCCTGGAAGCGCTACATTCCCTCTATTCAAGAACAAGCTTTGTCGACCAAGAGTTTATAGACCTCGTTGTCCCACTATATAGCAGCAAATATATCGATCTGTTCAGACAGCTTTTCCAGTGGTCGGTGGTTGATCCAGAGGATATTGATGATGATAAATACCAATTCTCTAAGAAGCTCTCTGAGGTAAGTTTGGCTGGAGGCCTACGTGTTATTGCCGCTAATAACATAAAGGTGATTTCGTTTCTAGGTACTTACATGGACCGACGTTTCAATGTTCTACCAAACGACCCAACCCGCATCGACTTCCAAGTATTCTTGCAACTTCTTCTGCTAGTTGCCCAGAGTCAGAGCCTGGTAGTCTCAATTCCTGTCCTTGTAACGTGGACTCGACTTCTTAATAACGAATCTCTCGGACGAAACATTGCAAGCCTTCCTTCCCTCATCGGCCCACTTTTAGAATGTTGTAGTTCGAGGCTTGTTCGATACGAAAGCTTGCCTGAAGATACGCAGGATCCTACGTTTCTATTCCTATTAGAAGACACGGACACAATCCCCGAGCGCCATGCTTTCCTGGGAAACTATAGACGCTATAGCTCAACAGTGATCGAGCTTATCGTTGAATTGCAGACGACTGATGCAATGCAACACATCTTGGGCCAAACGGATAATATATTAGAGCATCTTTATGATGAGGGACCGGCCTTTAATAGTATGTCTTGTTCGCGTTTGTGAAGATATCGGTCTAACTCTTAGCAGTGGCAAATTATACCAAGACATCTCCACAAGTCCTCCGGGTTGATGCTCAAGCGACAGTAATTGAGGCAGCTTTAAAGGGGTACGGAAGGTGGCGAGAATTTGTTGTTGCAGATGAGGTTAGTATGAACATGTTTAATTTGCATTTGACACCGAAATCTCTACTAATGTTTCATAGCAGCAAAATGCGGTAGAAGCAAGTTTAGAGTCCTGGTGTAATCGTCTGCTAGCGATGAACTTTGAGGTACGTACCCCTATTTTAGCATTCTGTAGATGTATACTTATTGCTATAGGACCCTCTTATCCGAAAACGAATTCTAGAGCTTCTTGTCGCTTTCTCCGTCAATGCACTTCATCGGAATGCAGGATTCATGCTAAAAGTCCTGGAACACATTCTTGTAACTTGGCCAGCTACGCACCCTGATTATCGAGTATATACGGATGCAATTAAAGAGTTGCAGACAGAGAGTATGGTTGAGCTTCAAAGACTTGCAGCTAAGATGCCCAACCATTTGCTGGTGAGAACACAATGCTATTTATTTAATACACCTAACCACCTGATACAGTTATATTAATGAGGATTCTAGGATGTTTATGACCAGATAGAAGCAAAGGTAAACGAGATGATCGCTTCGGGGACGCTAGATGAGAAGCGTCAAATTACGTATCAAACTTTTCTATTTACTATTGTGTAAGCTTCTAATTCTATGCCATATTAAAGACGTACTAACCAGTTTAGCCACCGCTCTACTCGGCTCGACCAGGCTACGAAGGCCCAGAAGCTACGAGGATTCATTGACCCTGTCGTGACTCAATGGCAAAATGATCGCCTCAAACAGGCGTTATCTTCATATGCGGGCTTTTGCGAACTCATGGCTCTTGACAAAGCACAAAACTATCTTGCACGGATGCAGATGCAAAATATCTCGGACTGGGGTTCAGTTGAACTCGATGCTGAGGGACAAGCACTACAAGCAGAGCTTGAAGAGCGACAAACCGTTAGGACATCTCGTATCTCATGTTAGAAATTATTTGCTAACGCAGCGTGCAGGTTCTCCCACTACGACCTACAAAGTCATTCCTGACTTGTTCCGCTGATAAGGTAGAGAAGGATAGCGACCCTTACCAAGTCTCATGTGCCTTATGGCAGGATGGGTTCCCGATTATCCTTCCCCAATTGCTTAATTTCCTGAAGTAAGAGCCCCACGACTTTCACTTGATGGCAAAAAGATTAACATTCATATGTAGCCATGCGCACGCTTCGCATACCCCTGACAATTGGACGGGATTACCACCCGAGATGAGATCGATCGTTGGTCGTGTCCTTACTGATAGATTCTGGCAAGCCGGTATTTCAGAAGGTAGTAAAGATGAATTTTATGCTCGCGTGCTTGAGAAGAAGCTCACACTAGAGGGGCTTGCCTCGACGATTCGAGGTTCTATACGCTTTGTGCGCGAATCATGCTACGCAATAATCTACTGCATGACACGCTTAGACGTGCAGTTCTACGGCTTTAACGAGCTGCCAGGACCCTTGGCTCATGCTCTCCTTGCCGATTCCTTCAGTCTTTCAGCCCACCAGTTAATCAATGTCCTTAATCTGGTTAGATATCTGGTGGACAACTGTCCGGTTCCCCTGCGAGAGCATTTCCTCCCTCCAATTCTAGCTGCGTGCTGTCAGCAGATGGATGCCAGGATCAACTCCGAGTGGATGAAGCTTGAGCATCAGCAGGCGGTAAAAACGGGAGGAGATGCTCTGACCGAAGAGATGAAGGCGGAAAGCATCCTAAGACAATTGACGAACGCAGCTGTAATGATGGTTGCGGACTTTTTAGACCCAGCCCGGACCAGTAAGTTTAACTCACCAGCGACCTATTTGTATGAAACATAGATTCTAACTTTGGGCCCAGACAGCAATGATGCAGGAAATCATCTTACGCTTCGAGAATTTTGCTTGGAGCATTCCTCTGTTGTAGAACCCCTCCTGATGTTCTGCACCCATGCCATAAGGTGGCATGATTCCCGGTGCTGTGGCATCATGCTGCGGGTTTTCCGCTCCATTATTCCGGACTTCACAACAGGCCTTCCACCCGCAGGCACAGCTGCCGCCATCCGCGAATACATATCGTCAGATGTTGTAAAAGCATGTATCACATCGATTCACGAACCGTATTTTGTTGACTTGCAAAAGGAATTTGCTTCTCTGATCGCCACGGTCCTAGTGACATATAACGACTTCACAAAAACAGCTAGGGATGTATTGCTCTCGCTTCCCAACGTGAAGCAGGCTGATGTCGACAGTGGGATAGAATATATGATGAGGAAGGAAACAAGCTCTCGTGGCCAACGAGCAGTCGTCCTTCAATTGCTAGGTGATATAAAGGGCGTGAGCGTTTCAGAGATGGGCAAGTTAAGCAAAAGCACTAGAATGCCTACTAAGACCCCTTCGGCAAAGAGGCCACCCCGCAGTAGAATGGCCCAGCAGTTCATGACTGTACCAAGCCACGATGCATCGAGACCAGGCGCCACAAGCAACGGTGGAGAGAATGGCAACGGAGACAACCTAGAAGGGCTAGCCAGCCTCTTCGACTCGTAGCGCGCATTGGGTAGCTAGTACTGTATTCAAAGACTAGACTAGCCGGTGGTCAACTTTTCCCCGTGTTTTTGTTGTATACTGAGATAGTATGCTCATTGACACTGATACACCAACAAAGATAAATTCGTAAGAGGTGGAGGCGGGTGATGTTGGTGCATTGGTCACTATCAGAGCCAGGACGGCGCCGGTGACAAGGTCAGACAGTCAGACCAGTTTGCCAGAACCTTACTTTGGACCGTTGACGCTGACATACCGTGGCAGGGTCTCTTTCCTGGATCCGGACACTCATGGGCCGAATGTAGATATAGTTGATATGTTACTAAACTCTGGCCGTACCTTAGTTAGGTAGCATTTGCAGGCGTCTAAACTTAGCAATAAACATGAAAAAAAGAATTCATTTATGAATAGTTAAGGAGAGATAGAACATAGTGCTTAGCAAGTTTAATAGTAGGTGATAATGCTTTAGGCATATTAAAATTATTTAGTAATTATAGTTGCGTTGCCTTTTAACCTTAAGTACCTAAGTTATTTAATATTAATACACGTTTTGTTAGGTTATCCTTCTATAGCTGTCTTTTTTACAAGACATACGATATGGATCATAAGGTACCTCCTACCTATGTATAAAAGCTTTAACGAAATTACATTAAGAGTGAACTAAAAGGTCCCTGTTTAAGAAACTTTCAAGTTTAGTCTTTTGACAACTATATTTTTAAACCTAGTGTTGAGTAACTAAAATATATGACGAAGGGGGGTTAAGGGGTTGCAATGGGTATTCTTAGATATTTACTCGGAAGTTCTCTGTATGCCGAGCAAGAGAGGCCATGCTCGAAATTAGAACATCTGATCAGTATTCTTCATGTGTAAAAACTTATAATCATGTAGTAAGATTCAACCTGACGGTCGAGTCAGGTGGTGTTATGCCCGAGTTTACGAGGGATATTGTCTTAGGGTCTGGTTTACGAAGTAGGAAGTTCGTCTGTGCGCGAATTTTAGGCATTTTTATTGGGTGCATCCCTAAAATAAGTGGAATTTTCCAAAGTCCCCACTTTCATCTTTTTCTTAAAATACGTATCTTTTTGCTTCCGAATCCCTGGGTGCCGAGCCCTTCTTTTGGGTGCCGAGTCCACCTTTTGGGTGGGTGAGGGTATTGAGGGTGAGGGTATTGAGGGTGAGGGTTTCGAGGGTGTTATAGGTAAGGGCTTCGGGCCCTTTTCCTGGGTGCTGAGGGTGCCGAGCCCTTTTCCTGGGTGACAAGTTCTCCTTTTGGGTGCCGAGCCGTGGGTGAGGGTATCGAGGGTGAGGATATCGAGGTCAGGGTGCCGAGCCCTTCTCTTGGGTGTCGAGTCTTCCTTTTGGGTGGGTGAGGGTATTAAGGGTGAGGGTATTAAGGGTGAGGGTATCGAGGGTGAGGGTATCGAGGGTGAGGGTATCAAGGTCAGGGTATCGAGGTCAGGGTGCCGAGTCCTCTTTCAAAATATTCAATATATTTAACTATAACCTCTGTAAACTCGGGCTATTGTGGCAGCCCTCTGGGGTGCCCTCCAGTGAAGTTGATATCTTACTAAGCTGGCAACATTGGTCTAAGATGATGGATAATGGTAAATTAAATTATAGATGTACTAACCCATAATGCCAAGTCTTAGCCCCGCAGTTTAATTGTGATAACCGTTAGATTTAATACACAAGCTGCATAGATAACAGAACAATCATCCTTGGATATGAGTTCATAAACCTAAAAATGGCTTGTGCCCGACGCGGGGAATTCGTAAATGACCCATGGCGAAAATGGAAAATACCTTAGCTTGAATTTATACCCTTCCCTTTTTTTGTTTCCCTATTCATCCACTAAACCCACCAACCCGCCAACCCATTTTATTGTTACAAGCACGTCTGATCGGCGGTTCAACTCGGTTTACTCTTCACATTACGGGGTTCCCCAGCCACAAACACGAACTCCTAGGTTCGGTTATGATTCCACATCATAGACCCGTTGGCTATTTATCATTTGTTCATTTGTTGTTTTATTCTATCAGTATTCATTGCGCGCTTTAAGATTCGTCCCGCTTCGTGACGCGATGCCGGACATGTTGATGGGGTTCTGATCTTCAATATGGCCGACTCCGAAGACAGTTTCTCGATAGAGAGCGAGGAACAATTATGGACTGGTTCGTCTTGACTACTCCTACGCCAAATCCTCTTATTCAAAAAAGGAGAAGATACTTGGTTACCTCATCTTTTCTAAACTCAGCTAATATTATTTCTATAGAGCTGAGTAAAGCTGTCGCTACTAATTGTCCTGCCGAAGCCCACGAAACTATCGATGATGCCTTGCGATCGTGGCTATATCTCGCGTCGCGATGCCGAGACGAATTTTCCCAGTCCGAAGATGACGTAGTCAATTGCTCGCAAATACTCCTCCATGGAAACCTCTTCTATATCAACCCGGACTACGTGCGCACGCAAATTATTTATAGTTTACTACAAGAAGATGAACCCGGACCCCTATATGTCATCGCTAATTTCCTCCTGCTGGATGGTCGAGCAGATGAAGCAACATTCAAAAGGATGATTGAGGAGAGTTGTTTTCACCGTCTACTCGAACTGATCAACGGGCGAAAAGACACCGATCCGGGTTTACATCGACTGCTATTAGATTTGATGTACGAGATGTCGCGAATTGAACAGCTTCGCGTCGAGGATCTGCTCCACGTTGACGACGGATTTGTTACCTACCTATTCGAACTTATTGAGGACTTTTCTGATGATGCACACGATCCATATCACTATCCTATCATCCGTGTCCTAGTAGGTTGAAAACTACTCATGAAATGTACTTCATATGCTAACTCGTCGCTAGCTTGTCCTCAACGAGCAATACATGGTCGCATCCACGGCCGCGATGAATGACCCTACGCTGACTGCGCCGCTGACAAACAAAGTCGTTAAGTGCCTTAGCTTATACGGTCCGAATTATAGGACATTCGGCGAAAATATTATACTACTTCTCAATCGCGAAACCGAAACGTCTTTACAGCTTCTCATATTGAAGCTCTTATACTTACTCTTCACCACCAAAGCCACATATGAATATTTCTACACTAATGACTTGCGAGTGCTTCTTGATGTCATCATCCGCAACCTTCTCGACCTTCCAGAAGAATTGATGGCTTTACGACATACGTACCTTCGTGTGATGTACCCCTTGCTTGCGCATACACAGCTTAACCAGCCGCCTCATTACAAGAAGGACGAGGTGCAAAAACTACTCAGAATACTAGCCGGATCGGGAAATACCCACTTCGCTCCAGCGGACGAGACAACTCTGAGGCTTGTAGACCGCGTATCTAAAGTCAAGTGGCTTTCTGATGAGGGCACCGGCGCTGGAGAGATCGCGCGTAAATTACTTGGCATTAGCCTCTCGCATGCGGAAACCGCCAGCAACGTTAGCGTCGTGCATGTGGCGGCGGTTATGGAGAAGCCGGGCGTTCAGACACCGAGCCGAAAAGCCGAGGCCGAAGCCGTAGCTAAAGATGAGGCTGAAGCTGAAAGCAAGACTAGAATTGACAATGGAGTAGAAGTCAAGAACGAAGTACCCCGTCCAAGCTCCAGTCGCGGGGAAGCTAGAACGAAGGAGACATCAAAGCCAAGTAGGCCGAAGAAACCACTACCTGAAGTACCGAAGCACCGACACGGAGTACCGTATGTTTCTATGGGGCATGAAAATAACACTAGGAGTGTTAAGAAAGCACCACCCAAGGCGCCGCCGCCAAGACGGAGGGGAAGAATTAAGCATACTACAACTACGGAGACGGTGAGGTCTATATCAGAGCTGGTTTGAGGTTTAGGAGCTTTCTAAGAGCAAGGATGTAATTTGATTAATTAGGGGCGGGACACTCCATCGGTGGAGATTAGACCCAGTGTCGTGTGGGAACGACCAGCAGAGAATGGCATTTTTGACATGGGAAATGGCGTACCGAGTAAGCCGATGCTTGAGAATCGATATCCCAGAGATAGCATTTGCATAGGCGAGGCGTTTAGGAAAGGGAGGACGGGGAGAGGTTTTACTTTCTTGGAGTCAAACAAGGAATAACCAAATGACACCTGCGCCCTATAGTCCGTAAGAAATAGTTAATGTTCATGATAATTTTAGTATTCAAAACCAAATGCGAGTTTCTAAGGGCGAGCTGTGATAGATTGATGAGAATGATCCTTTAATATAAGTCTCCCGAATCTCGATGCGGAACTCAGTATAGTGTTGTAGACTTGTCTTATTTTAATATATGTATGCAGGTACAACGTAGTAGTACAGCATGGTGAAGAGTGATTATACACATGGTCGTAAGCTCATAATGGTAATGAGGGACGTAGGTGGCTTGTACCTTTTGTTGAAGGTATAAATAATAGAGGGTATCTGGGGGCAGTATGGGGTTATGGACAACTATTCTTGCATTTACTTATATAACTCCGAGCCAATGATGGTCCTATCAAATATCCATATATATGCAGAGTAGGGTGTGCTGTTCTATTGGACAGGATTCAATAATTCTGATAGACGGAAACGTGCGGAACCTTGGATTCACATGTAATGGATAGCTACATTATTTAAGTGCGCATATGAGGTAGGATAGGTAGGTATACAAAACTTGGTTTGTATGGAAACCTACGTTGGGTAGTGTATTAATCTTGATATGAGATCTGATGTGTGAGACTTAGTTACCTAAAGAATCAATAATACATTAGGAGCCATGGACATGCGGATATTTCCGTATACGCCCCGACGGATAGGCTACGTCATAGTATTGTCTGACAAAGACTCGTGCAAGAACTCCAAACCCCGCCAATCCGACTAGGTATGTTAGGTAGTGGGCCGACTTTGCCGGACCCTTGCTAGCTCGAAATACCGAATGCGGATAGTACGAACCGACAGCTAGTAAACGTATGAAGATTTACGTATGGCAGCGGCCAACGGTACATGCGTAAAGGTAGATCCTAGTTAAGCTAAACTATTTTGGGCCTGTTTGTGAAGAGAATCGGGCATGGCAAAGCTGGGGGGGAAGTCGCAAAGGTGACGACAACCACATCATCGTCACTGCGCATCCCACCAAGCTATTCTCTTTTTTTCCCCTTCTTCTTTTTTCTATGTCTAGTGGCCCGACCCTTTTTTCTCGTCGATAACCCGTTGCTCCAGAATTTTACTACGAATTCCACTTCAATCGCAAGACTATTTATTAGCCCCGTAAGTATGAATTACCCTTACTTTATACTAGAGCCCAATTGAGCTGCCGCCCAACCCTCGACGATAAGGAATCCTGAATCGTATACATCGACCTAATTTGTAACGGTCCTTTGAACTTATCACCTAGAACTGGTCACTTTTGATATTTCGACTTAAACATTGGGATATTCCTGATTGTTCCAGCATAGAACAATGCCCAACGAAGCAACTTACTACGTGTACATTATTTCTTTAGGCTAACTTGCTGGTTGTTATTTAGGATTAAAACATTGTTTTAACAAAATTCAAAGACACCATTCGTTACCACAATCTGTAGCCATCTCAAACCCTATGCACCTCGCTACTACATATCCACGCTACTATCCACGAATTTACGTTGTCAGTCGGTGCTACTTCTTCGCGCGTTCTAAAAAGATTCGAAAGTTCTAGCCAAGGTACGCACGCTAGTGAGACTTTATAAGAGACTGAGACCGCTTAAGCCTACGGACTTGCCGCCCTCTATTCATTAGTCTCAAACCTTCTCGGTTGTATCCTCTAACCGGCAATATATCTAGAGTTACGTCAACGCTTTCATGTCCGCCAAGCCTTTACTACCTCTCGCTCCGCCCACCATCGACTCCAATATGATGAACCAGGCCACCACCACCACTCTAGATCCCGTAGCATTCCCTACAAACGGTAACGCAGGTGGCTACTCGAGGCCCAATTCCGGTGGCTACTTTCCGTATCACCAGCCACAAAGACCAGTAGATAACGAAACTCTGTCCAACACGCTAGCCAATTCTCATATTACACCACCCCAGAACGAGAATTACCAAACTGCGAATCGTCAGACCAAGTTTACCGAAGAGTGGGATGCGAGTGTGAGAGGTGACTCAGTCGTCGACGGTCCAACATCCCAGCAGAGCAATTACCAGCATTCCAACATGCAACGCTCGAACTCGATATCCTCACGACCCGAAATCCTGAATACCGGCGATGGCGCAAGCACTCACGCCATATCCCTATCGAGAGGAAATACCCTAAAAAAGAAGAGTTCTCTTCGTAGGAGTGGTAGTCTCAAGCGCAGCAGCAGTCGCAGGAGCATGAATGCCGGCAGCGTGAGGAGCCTCGCTTTACAAAGTTCTCACGATTCAGACGAGGTCCACAGTGCATTCTATTGCCCTGTACCGACTTCGGGTAGCCCGACGGAAATACTGGCCGAGAGATTTCAGTGTAGGTTGAGACGTCTTCCGTGACTCGTCCGTCTCGTATGTGTTTCGTTGCCGCTGACGTTAATGTGTAGCTTGGAGGAAGATTCTCAAGGATCTCATCGCATACTTTAGGGAAATACAATCGCACTACGAGCACCGATCCAAGTCGCTTCTTAAGCTTGCTAATGTACTTAACAATACGGCAACGCCGCCCGGCTTCCTTTCGTCTGGTGGCCTGGATGATGCGCTCCAAATCTTGAGGGACCATCACAAAAACATGATTACAGAGGCTAGCAAAGCCAAGGAGATTGAACAAGATGTCATTCTAGCGCTGACCGGTCTTAGAAGCGATCTTAATCAGAAGATAAAGGAGATAAGGGGCCTTTCGAGCGACTTTAAGAATTCGGTCGAGAAGGAAATGGACAGTACCAGAAGGGCTGTCAACGCGTTGCAAGAAGTCCTAGGACAGAGCGAGTTAGATTCCTCTGCGACTACGGGGAAGCAAGATCCATATCTCTTGCGACTTGCGGTAGATCGCCAGCTCGAAAGGCAACTCGACGAAGAGAACTATTTGCACAAGGTAAAATAATTCCCAATACACATAACTAGGTAAAATCAAAGTCTCACAGAAGTACAGGCATACTTGAACCTCGAGTCGTCAGGTAGAGAGCTTGAATCGATTGTCGTTGGCGAGATCCAGAAATCGTACAACGCGTATGTAGGTATTATCAAGCGGGAAGCGGACGCTGCGTACAACGCCATCGACGAGCTCCGCGCCGGCCCCATTACGATGCCTAAGGACCACGAGTGGATCACTTTCATTCAGAGAGACTCGCAGTTCGTCGATCCCGACGTGCCCCTAAGATCGGCTGAGCATATCCATTACCCAGGCCGAGATCATTTTGCTTGTCAAGAGATCCGTGCAGGTCTACTTGAGCGGAAGAGCAAATACTTGAAGAGTTATACGGCTGGATGGTGAGATGTTCCTTTTTTGAAATCATAAACTGCGAGTAAGCTAACATAAAGGGGTAGGTACGTATTATCTCCAACTCATCTGCATGAATTCAAATCTGCAGACAAGACTCAAGCGCCTGTCATGTCTCTGTATCTTCCCGAGCAGAAGCTGGGTTCTCACTCCACAGAAGGTGGTTCTTCCAACAAGTTCATCCTCAAGGGGCGACAGACTGGGGCTATGCACCGCGGTCATACTTGGGTCTTCCGTGCCGAAAGCCACGATACTATGATGGCTTGGTATGAGGATATTAAAGCTCTTACGGAGAAGTCTCCCGAGGAGCTTAGCAACTTTGTCCGAGGTCACTCTCGCGCGTATTCGCGGACTTCGCAGCGTACTACGAGTTCGGATGGTATGGTGGACGATGAGGACGACGAGCCGTTTTCAGTCGACCCCGCTGTCGCGAGCCCAAGTTCTCGACAGGACTCTATGCAAAATAGGCCTGAGCCAGGAGGTCGGTTCCCATCCGACATACAAGTCAACGCACAGAGGGGCTTACAAGTACCGCGCTCTCCTAGCAGCGTCGGTTCAGGGCTTGTAGGGAACGAATACGCACTTAGCGGTGCCAACGGGGGCATCAACCAAGATCGAGACGTAATCGCAGCCGCGGGCGCATTACCCGGCAGCGGCATGGGCGAGTCTTATCCTACAAACCGAGCATCGCAGATAGTTGGACAGTCCTACGGGAACACTCCAAGCGTGAGATTGGATCAAGCGCACAGCCAAGCAGTAATTATTGACCATGAGGCGCGAGCAGATGGCGTAAATCCTTATAACGGAGAACCTATCCAGCACCAGCAGCAGCAGATGGGACTGCCTGGCCGGCCTGTCATTGTCCCCGGCCCAGCGTCTAATAGCACGACGCAGACACTAGAAACTACTACCAGCCAAGATTCGGGCAACCCCGGCGCATACGAGATGGCTACCGACGTGCAGCAGAAATATATGCCGGGTGCAGGGGCGGCATATAGTATACCAAGCAAAGAGCAGCCGCAAATGGTCGGCGCGGGGAACGGGTTCGCGAAGCCATTGCCAAATCCGGCTACAGGTATGCCGTTTTCAGGGCAGGATGGACAGCCGAGGCCGTACAATGGTAGGACGAGTAGTAACCCTCATGTCCCTGGCGAGTACCCACGGGGTACGCCGGCGAGTACACCGGGTGCGTATTAAATACTCGGAAGGATTTGATTAGCGGCTTGGGCAGAGCGAATATCATGTTGCGGTAGTGAATTGGAGGTTCCGCGCTATATGACTTCAGGTTCCTTCCTGGATCTTTTGGACAGGGCGAGAGGGTGCTACTTTTTGCTTATGCTTGATAGAAAGAAGACGATCGAACTGTCTTTATAAGCGATGGATGCTGGGGGTATACCTTTTCCTTTTCCTTTTCTTTTCCGCGCGGCGTTGGTTTCTCTCATTTTTTTGTATACCAGAGCTAGCCGAGGTTACAAAAAGGGGGCGGGGCGGCGGCCGGTTGAATCCATGTTTTAGCTTATTTTTTTTTCCTTACGATGGGATACTTTGGGCAGGGGGGTAGATAGATACCCTGCTCGTACGAGTTGCGGGATGCAATGGGACTTGAAGCTGTGATGTGCGGGTAGGTTGGGTTAGGTTGGATATGAATATTGAATATTGATATAAGTATGGGTATGGATAGGGGTGGTTACGAGTAGGGGTATGGGTATGGGTATACGCAATAAGAAACATGCTTTTTTTTCCCGGATGATTTAGACCGAGTGTGGTATTATATTGTTTGAGTGTTTGTGTGACTAGTGGCTTGGTAGTTGTTGTGATGGCAAATTTGAGAAGCTTCTAAGAGAGATATGTTAAGTTACGGGATACGTCTCATGGCCTGCGTATCTAAGTCAGGCCTGGGAGAATATTGGATCGAAAATATATCACGACGAACCTTCTATCCGATATAAAAAGCCAATGCTACCACGGCCAGCCTCAAGGCCAGGCCAGCTCTTGCGTTTGACATAAAAACCGATATGGTCACTCGCCATCTATAGACTTGTACTAAAATATTATAGTTCCAAACTGGTAAATTGAAGCTATCATGATCTATCCTAGCCATATATGCTTAATCTCCCCTAGAACTACAACATATATCTATCTACGTCTATGTCTTCGTATTAGGTACCTACTCATGTCTTTAAGCCCCCTTTCCTCCCTCCCCTCACTCCCATCAAACTCGTCGTTGTTCGAATAGAGAACCACCTACTCCTTACTTAGTACCTAAGGTTAGGCACTTGAAATAGTTCGAATTCGATGTATATGCCCAAGTAACTAACCTAGCTGATAGTTATCTTGAGATTATGAAGTAGGTTAGAGCTTTCATAGTTTAACACTTTACAATTTATTCGTTCGAGCAACCAATCAATAATACCAACTAATAGAATAATACACAGTAATAGAAATCCAACCTCGTTCACGTAATACATATACCTACCTAGGTAAACACCTGTATGTTTACAGCCAACCGTTAGATATCCCAGCTAGACCAGTAGAACTTTTCATTCATTCTTTCATTTGTTCGTTCGTTCATTTGTTTATTTACCTTAGGATACCTAGGTATATACCTCCCACCCATATGCAAGCAAGTGCGGGAAAAAGTAAAAAAAAAAAAGGACAGGACATTTTTTAAAATTAATCAGAACTTTCCTCGTAACGCCATTCCCGTACCGCGTGAGAACATTTGAATGAGAGCGGGCCCACCACTACTACTACCACCACGGGTCCGCCAGGAGAAGAAAATCGAAGAAAGGGGGTGGGTATATCTATCTCGCTCCCAGCTTTTAGTATCGACTTCCTCCTCCTCCTCCTCCTCGGCTGAAACCGCCCCGTCCCCTACCACCGCCATTGCCGCCAAAGCCACCACCACCACTGCCGCCTCGGCTGAATCCACCGCTACCTCCACGACCACCACCGCCTCCCCGGCCGCCGCCGAAGCCACCGCCTCCAAAGCCACCACGACCACCTCTCGACGGGCCCCCTCTTCCGCCACCAAATCCACCCCGTCCACCGCCTCTTATCGGGCCACCACGTCCGCCACCGAACCCGCCACGACCGCCTCCGCGGCTAGGCTTCTTGACCTTGGGCGCGCCAGGCGGGGGCTTAGGCCTAGGGAGGAACTTCTCCAGGGGGAGGAGCTTCTCGGAGCCGATGAAGAACTTGTCGCCGGGCTTGAAGGAGGTAGCCTGGATGCCCTCGGTGGGCTTGATGGTGAAGTAGACCTGGTTGATGGGGCCGAGGACCTCGTCGACCTTGCCGACGGCGGTCTTGTTCTCGAGGAAGATCTGCGCGTTGAAGTGCGGCACCTTGGGGTTGATGCTCTCGCATACCATTTCCCCCTCGCACGCGTGCAGGAAGCTGCCCATCTCTAGGATCTGGTCCGGCGGGCCGAAGTCTCGCTGTCCGAAGCCGCCGCGGCCTATTTATTTCAAAAAGGGGAATTCGTTAGCTTATAATTGAAGCTATACGAGTGAAGATAAGAATGAAGAGTAACACGTACCGCCTCGACCACCTCCTCCGCGACCTCCACCGAAACCACCTCCGAAGCCGCCCCGTCCGCGCGGCGCTCCTCTCGACATAGTGACGTGTGGCTACGAGGTCAATTGGCCTCTGCGGGCTATGTAGCTTTTTTTTCGGGGTTGATTGACGATCGCGTTTTCGCGAATTGGCAAATTTGTCGAAAAGTTCAAGGTTTTTTTGATTGAAGCTTCAAAACCTCGAATAATAATTTTGCTGGAGCTAAAGTTCCTACCTGCACTTTTTTTTCTCGGGCGGAAAAACGTGCCCGGATGGATAAAGGTGTTATCGATAGTGGCTGATAAGAATTGTTACCTGGATTAGGTAATTAGGTAGCACCCACCCTTTTAGCTGAGCTTCAATTTGGTTCAATTTGGTATGTAGTACATTTTACTTACACCATCACAGATAATGTAATTCGTACATTTGCAGACTCACACAGACAGACGGTCTAGACTAGATTGCTTGTCAAACACCGTCCTCCTCTAATTTTGCTCGAAACGGCTTGTTTCCAATATCAAGCCAATAGGAGCGGGGGTGAAAACTACTCAAACCTGCTAAACCTGTCCTTGTCCTACAGCAACGAGGGGAATCCCTTCAAGAATAACACGCCCGATTTTAGTACTGAGCTGATTATCGTTCTGGTTTGTTATCTACGGGGGCTATGTCAAAAGATTTGTTGTGCTTCCTCATCGGACCGTATTATCAAGCTTTTTGACGAATAATTATGTCTAACCCAATCTTGCAGAAGCAACCCGGAGGCCTTATCCGGCGTAACTCAAGTTGTGTTACTCAACTAACAACTTTTAGATGCACAGAAACACAGAGATGTCTTTAAATTATAAAATCTTGAAACTAACCGGTTCCTTCACGGGGTATTTGTGACCCACGAGATAGACCCTCGATGCGAGCCATTGCTAACAGTCTCCTGACTGGTCCATTGCTGTGTTACTTCGGGATTTGACCAACTAGAAGGCCATTGACACCACAGCCTAGGGTTATATCAAAGGACAAGTAGATTTGTCATCCTGTAATAATCATAGCTCAGCATTGTGTCAAACAAAACAAGACGCAAAAGCCATTGTAACCACGATCTATGTTCTTACCCGTAAGCTTTTGCTGGTGACATTAGTTAACTGACTCTGACTTTGAATGAGCAACTGGCAATACCTATATCAAGAGGTAGCTAGTAAAAACCGGCTATACTTAGTATCACAAGAGCTGTTTGACTTCAGATGATGTTAGCTGTCAGGTTGTCAACTCGAAGAAATCCGACTAAATCGTATATCGTCATCAGTAATCACCCTAAATCTTCCTATGATGGAATCAGTCGAGATCGTCGGCGCTCTCATGAAATCGCCATGACGTCGTGGAACAATCTGAGGATGCGGGATGGAATTTGGGATTTGCCAAGTCACGTTGCCATTCCTTTCTGCAAGTGCAAAGCCGGAAAAGTGGAAATCTCATATGTACGTGCGAGTCGAGTCGAGATCGGCCCCCAACGTAGGTGTCCCTGTCCCTGGTGTCGTGCTAGGATAGTGGTCTTAGCATCATGGTAAGCCGGGATGAGCTGTGGAACGAGCCTTGTATTGCTATAGCGAGAACGCATATGGATTATTATGGTCTGTGCATAAGGCGATACATATTCTCCCTCTAGGTACGTTAGGGCAAAACTTGGCGGACTGCTAGCCTTATTACAGGAGGACTGACAAGATAGCTAGATAGCCTATTGATCTAGTATAACGTCTACCGTTTAGGATCCTATAGGCCTAAACCAGGACGACTTTCCCAGGATAATTATAAAGAACATGGCCTTAACATTACATTGTCTAGGTATATCGCCGATTGTTGGGGTGTTGGTTATAGACCTGTATAATCTAAGTTATACATAGTAAAAGCAATCTGACAACATTTGCATAGGCTATAAAACCCTCGCAAGTCTGAACCAATATTAGAAAATTAGGCGGGTCGCAGGTATTCCTAAGGATTGCATGGCGGTTTGTGTTATGTAGATAGGGTCTGTTTGTCAATTGGACAGCGCACGTCGGCTTTAGAACCCCTATTTTTTCAAAAGCCGACTTGTAAAGTTCAAACTGTCTTGGCTCCGACAGATGCCTCGCATTTAATTGAGTAATTCCGTCGAATACGGTAATAAGCATAAGGCTGGCCTTTCTAAGACACGACCAGCTTATCGGGAGCTACCGTACCTTTAGCAAGGTTGGTCTAAAGATTGATTATCTTTTTTTTTTCTCGGCGTTCTTCAGTAGGCTTGGCACATGTAATCCTTAATTTGATGTTCTAGACCGGCATCTGATCTGGCGTCAGATGCTTATGAGTCCATTTCGGCAGGACTGTCCATGTGCGGCACAGAAGCTTCTACTTCAACACGAGTGAGGTGGCCGAATCGTATTTTTCGCTTTCCTACTCCCCCATGCACAAAAGCTGACGAGATAAATTATGCGGCCGCACGTGTCAATGCTTGCGGGATTGCGGTCAAAGTGTCCGTCGATGCGGTCGAAGCTAACATAGCCCCCCATCGCGCTTTAGGCATCGACATTGTTGGAAGAGGCTTTAATCCGCGATCAACACCGCTTGCTCCTTTTAATTGCTGATCAGAGCCGATCACAGTGGCAGGATGTAAA